CCCTGCAGAACCAGGCAGAATTGTTGTTGCTTTTCTGACTTGGCAGAAGTGATGGCCTTCTGAATCAGAGGCTCCTTCTTTGCCAGAAAACTCCTATTCACTCTTCAAAACCCAAATCAAGTATCTGACTTCCCCGCATCTCTGCCTGCCCCTGTGCCCTAGGCAGAGTTGTGCTTCCCTCTCTGGGTTCCCCCAGACATGTCCTCTGGAAGCTTCTGGAAGGCAGAATCAGGGGCTGGACCTCCAAGTTACCAGAAGTATCCAATCCAGGGTCAGGTCCAGGGGGCACAGGAGGAACAGACGGGGAGGACGGGGTACTCACAAGGACATGTGCATGATCTCGTTGGCCTCTGGCTTCCAGACCCCTCGGAGCAGCTGCTCAAAGTTGGACATGAGGGCAACACCAGAGCCTACGAAACAGGGTGCTTCTGAACGAACCCGCCACCCCCAAGGAAGCAGACTCGCCGCTCCCGGAGTCCTCTCCAGGGGGACCATGAGCCGGGTGTATGAGGATCAGTGGCAGGTGAGGAAACATGCTCAGAGCAGGCAGAGTCGGGCCGAAGGTCACACAGCAGCACATTTGGAGCAAAACAAGCTGGAAGGAATCAGCTAACACCCCACCTGCAAGGCTTGGACCAACCTGGGCTGTCTGCCCTGAGGCTTCCAATCCAGGACCCTGAGCTGTGCCTGGGGCTCCCAGGGGGCCCCCTACACATAGCCTCTCTCCTCAGGACTCTGAGCTCTCAATCTTTCTCAAGCCACTTGCCCTCCGGGAGCATGCTACCTCCCCGGGGAATTGGTACAGGCTTCCTGGAGACACAGTGATTACATTTCCAGAAAGAATACCCTCTCCAGGAGCGGCTGCCAGCTGGGGTTCCAGACTTGCACCAGGGGTTCACAACTGAGGTGATTTTGTCTCCCGAGGAGGCATTTGGCAACGTCTAGAGACATTTTTGGTTGTCACAACTGGGGAGGGGGGTGTGCTCTTGGTGGGTGGGGGCCAGGGATGCTGCTCAACCCCTGGCCATTCATAGGATGGCCCCCACCACAGAGAATGATCCAGCACCAAATGTCAGTAGTGCCGCAATTGAGAAACCCTGCTCTGGGTATCAGCTGTCATTGTTTCATCATTGTCCTATTTGCCTGTGATGGTTAAACTTCTGGAAGAATCTTCTCATTTGCTCTAAAGGTGCGGGCTAATGGGCAGCCTGGACCCCTGCAGCAGTCCTGGTACCCCTCAGCCTGGCTGGACCACTGGACCAGGGTTCTCAACTGGGTGATTCTCGGTTGTCATTGTTATGGTCCTGTTTACCTTTGACCCAGCCAGTGGCAATCATGACAAACCACCCGTGGTGGTAGTGGTGATGCGCGTGGTGGATGCCCACGGCGATCTTTCGGACTCTCACCACCTCCTTCATGGCCACAAAGATGAGTTTCACAGGCAGGAAGCAGACACACTTGTAAAAGAGGTCCAGGGGACAGAAGAAAATCAGGTACCTGCGGGGAGAGAATGCCAAGCATCAGGGGGAGAGATTCCGGGGGCCCTGGGAGGCGAGGTTGTATCCTTCCTGCGTGCCTGGCTCAGGACAGAGCTGAGCAACAGAGCAGTGCCCTCAGGGCCACTGTGGAGGTTGTGCAGTTGGATCCCGGTCCCTCCCGCCTCCCACCTCTCTGGTGAATGGGTCACCCCTGCCCTCCGGCGCTGCTCTCCCACGCCCAGCCAGCCTGGCAATGCTTACCAGACAGCGGAGGCCAGCAGGACGCTGGAGTTGTTGCTGAAGTAGTCGATCAGGGGCTCCCCGAGGAGCAGATCAGCCAGGATGTAACTCCCGAAGCAGTGCAGCATGGCACACAGCCAGGATGCCATGGGGTGGCGCCGGGCCAGCTCCACTGCTCCTGGGAGGCAGGGGGATAAGGGGGTGGGAACGTAAAGAATTTCCTTTCTTTTTAAGGCTGAATAATATTCCAGACAGACACAGAGAAGGTGTGTGAATTGAACTGTGGACACAGAAAGATAAATTGTCCAGTCAGTGTGGCTCTGTTGGCTGAGTATTGTCCCAGGCACCAAAAGGTCGCCAGTTCGATTCCTGGTTAGGGCACAAGCCCAGGTTGTGGCCTTGATCCGCAGTAGGGGACGTTCAGGAGGAAGCCGATCAATGTTTCTCACACTGATATTTCTCTCCCCCTCTCTCCCTCTCCCTTCCTCTCTCTCTAAACACCAATAAAAACATTTTTTTAAAAAAGTCCATGTTCACAGCAGCATAATCATCAAAAGGTGGAAACATCCTCAGTGTCCATCAAATGATATCCTATATAATAAAAGGGTAATATGTAAATTGACCCTAATGGCAGAACGACTGCTGAACCAGTCACTATGAGGCTCACTGACCACCTCTTGGTTCCTTTCCCCGGCCATCAGGCACCTATTACCCGATGGCGGACGGGGAACTAGAGGTGGGTGGCGGTGGGGGGCAGGGCCAGCTTTGGGCAGCTGGGGAAGATGGCCCTGATAGCAGGCCAGGCCTAGGGACCGTACCCATGCACAAATTTCGTGCACCAGGCCTCTAGTATAGATATAAAATGTGACCTATCCATACAATGGAACATTATTCAGCCTTAAAAAGGAATGAAGTCCTTATTGGAGTGTTTACTTTGTAAGGTAGAAAAGTGTCTAATCACTATATTGTACACATGAAAGTAATATAATATTGTATGTCAACTGTAATTGGAAAATAAATTAATTTTAAAAAACGAATAAAGTCTTTTGTGGGGGTGGGAGGGAGAGAGAGAGAAACACTATGTGAGACATAGTGCTTGGTTGCCTCCCACACTCATCCTGACTGGCTGGTGATTAAACCTACAATGCAGCCCTGGCTGGTTTGGCTCAGTGGATGGAGCGTCAGCCTGCGGATTGAAGGATCCCAGGCTCGATTCCGGTCAAGGGCATGTACCTTGGTTTCGGGCACATCCCCAGTTGGGGGTGTGTCAGAGGCAGCTGATTGATGTTTCTCTCTCATTGATGTTTCTAACTCTCTATCCCTCTCCCTTCCTCTCTGTAAGAAAATCAATAAAATATATTTTTAAAAAAATAAACCTACAATGCAGGTACGTGCCCTTTGACCGGGAATCAAACTTTCAACCCTTCGGTGTGCAGGCCAATGCTCTAACCACTGGGCACATTGTTCAGGGCAGGAATGAAGTCTTGATAGATACTACAACATAGATGAGTCTTGAAAACATGCTAAGTGAAAGCAGCCAGACACAAAAAGCCATAAGACCATATATTGTAGGATACCATTTATATGAAATGTCAGAGCAGGCAAATCCATAGAAACAGAAAGCAAATTAGTGATTGGCAGGGGCTGGGGGAGGGGCAATGGGGAGTGACAGGTAATAGCAATGGGATTTTCTTTTGGGGTGATGAAAATGTCCTAAAACTTATATATTACATGTAGATGGAAACATAGAGGTGGGCAAAGTAGGTTTACAGATGTGAGTACACAAAACAGAGTTTATTCTTGTATTGTTATTAATCATTGTATTGTTTATTTGTATTACAAATGTAAATCTGCTTTTGCCCACCTCTGTATATAACATGGCCTTTTGCATTCATCTCTTTCACTGAGCACAATATTTTTTAAAATAATATTCATTTTTTACTGTTGTATAATGTTCCATCATAGAACTAGATCACAAGTTATTTCACCATTCTCTTGGATATACTACATTTTATAATGAGCAAGCATGCCTAATAAAAGCTGTTTTAGAGTAAATCATCAACACACTCCCCTTCCTCTTCGCCATCCCCACCAACTAACCATGTGATCTTGGACAAACTATTTTTTCTCTGTGTGGCCCTTTCCTCTGTCAGGTGCAAACCCTTAATCCCTTCTTTTTTTTTTTTAAATATATTTTATTGATTTGTTACAGAGAGGAGGGGAGAGGGATAGAGAGTTAGAAACATCGATGAGAGAGAAACATTGATCAGCTGCCTCCTGCACACTCCCTACTGGGGATGTGCCCGCAACCAAGGTACATGCCCTTGACCGGAATCGAACCCGGGACCACTCAGTCCGCAGGCCAACGCTCTATCCACCGAGCCAAACCGGTCAGGGCCTTAATCCCTTCTTTGCTCAACTCCTAACGATGATTGGAGCCAAATGTTCCCTCCTCAATCTCACTATGCGCATCCTTTCCCTGCCAGATTATCCTAGAGCAGTGGTTCTCAACCTTCTGGCCCTTTAAATACAGTTCCTCATGTTGTGACCCAACCATAAAATTATTTTCGTTGCTACTTCATAACTGTAATGTTGCTAGTGTTATGAATCGTAATGCAAATATCTGATATGCAGGATGGTCTTAGGCGACCCCTGTGAAAGGGTCGTTCGACCGCCAAAGGGGTCGCCACCCACAGGTTGAGAACCGCTGTCCTAAAGTCTCAGCATTGAAGGATTTAATCACAGGATTTAAGAAAGCAGCGTTCTCTTCTCTGGAGTGTCTATTTAAAACCCTGCCAGCTGAGCGGTAATCCTTCAGAGCAGCTGGTGGGGCCTGCAGGGACCAGGTCAGGTGAGGCACCCATGTTTTGCAGAAATGGATACCTCTGCGTTTAAAAATAGCCCGTAGAGGTTGAATTCTTTCCAGGGTCTTTCGGGTGCCCTCTGGGGCTATCCCAGGGACTGAGACTGGGGAGTGGGGGTGAGGACCTGGGTTTCTCAGGAGTAAAGCAGGTTCCATGTTTGTATCATGGTGAGTCCTAATTAAAATAAAGTCACACGCCTGGGTTTTGGCTCTGCTGCTCATTCAGGCATGGCCTTGGGCAAATGACTGCTCCCTCCCCAGTCTCTGTTTCCTCTGCTGTCAAAAGAGAATGAGGCTCATTTGATGGAGCCTTCGTTCTGTGCACCGATAGGTTGCAGGTTTGATTCCCAGTCACTGCACATACCTGGTTTGCAGGTTTGATCCCTAGTCGGGGAATGTATGGAAGACAACCAATAGATGTTTCTCTCTATTGATTCCCTCTCTCTCTCTCTCTCTCTCTCTCTCTCTCTCTCTCTCTCTGTCTCTCTCAGCATGTTCTCGGGTGAGGATTAACAAAAAGAGAGAATGAGAGTACCTCATTCATGGAGTTGTATTGATGAATCAATGCAGTGTGCGTTATAATCATCATGTTTCTTATCATTATCAATACCCTCCTGGCAATCCTGGAAGGACAGGAACAGTCTCCCCATTGCCACAGATGGGAAGACTGAGGCTGATGGAGACAACCTGCCCTGTAGACCCATAGCAAAGCAGGGGCTGAAAAACAGTCCTCCTAGATCAGTGATGGCGAACCTATGACACGCGTGTCAGAGGTGACACGCAAACTCATTTTTTTGGTTGATTTTTCTTTGTTAAATGGCATTTAAATATATAAAATAAATATCAAAAATATAAATCTTTGTTTTACTATGGTTGCAAATATCAAAAAATTTCTATATGTGACATGGCACCAGAGTTAAGTTAGGGTTTTTCAAAATGCTGACACACTGAGCTCAAAAGGTTCGCCATCACTGCCCTAAATCCATCCCTTTGCCACACTCCTTGGGTTGGGGATAGCACCCAGAAGCAGCAAATATAGGTTTCAGCCCCAGGTTTGCCACTAAAGTTCTCCCCTCTCCTGGCTTCAATCTGCTTAGGTGCTATCCCAGTTTGCCTGGGACCTAAGAGTTCCAGGGACGTGGGACTTTGGATTCTTGTCTTAGGCAAACCTGGCTGAGTTGGTCACCCCAGTGCGCCTGAGGAGGAAGAGAATTGCTTAGTGCCTAGTAATTGTGTGAGAGTTATTCCTGGAACTGAACTGAAATGCAAAGTACCTGTGGGTGGAAATTCTAGTGGATGGATTTATAAAAATCAGCTCTGCCTTCGAGGGAGGAGGAGGCCCCGATCAGGTCTCCTAGATGGAATCCATGACATTCCCATGGCAGGGAAGTGCTAGAAGGTTCCCCAGGGCATTTTCAGCACTGCCCCTCATTTGGTGCTATTTAGTCTGAGGTCTAAAAGCATATGAGGTGTACTGACAGAATCTCTCAGCAACTCTAAATCCTCTTTTCTTGAGCCTTTGAGCAAAGCTCTCTGCCTCAGTTTCCTTCCTTGTTGGAGTTGGTAGTCCCTGCCTTGCAAGGTTGGGGATGAGTAGCCATCTGCCCTCAAAAAGCTTACAGTTTAAACCAGAGATCAAGAAAGTGTTCTCTTAGCTCACACAGGATTGTTTTTTAAATGTGCTTTCATTGATTTCAGAGAGAGGAAGGGAGAGGGAGAGAGAGAGAGAGAGAAACATCAATGATGAGAGAGAATCATTGCTCGGCTGCCTCCTGCACGCCCCCTACTGGGGATCGAGCCTGCAACCTGAGCATGTGCCCTGATGGGGAATCGAACCTCAAACTCCTGGTTCATGGGTCGATGCTCAGCCACTGAGCCACACTGGCCTGGTACCCACACAGAAT